GCTGTGTCTGTCAATAATTATTAAATTCAGCCACAATGTTTGACTACCAAATTGGTCTCCAATTCTCTTCCAATTTTCCGGCTTTCTGTGGGTGTATATATATGTATTAAATTCAACTTGGCAGCCCACTACTTTATTAATTCCAAATCAACCCCAACTTAGCTCAAAGTTTGGTCTCGTTCTCTCGCCAACACTCGTCAAATATTTCATAATTCGAGACGCAATCCGGATCACATCAGTGAAGGTGAAGGAAAGTGGTGGAGATTCTTGTAGTGTTGATGTAGCGTCGACAAAATATCCAACACACCCTGATAGAGGTTGCTGAAGATTTATCTAAAACACCCACTTCTCAACCTGCAAGATTTCTCTCAGTTACACTGTGTGTGTGGGTACTTGTTGTCTTCCTTACTTCTGTAATTCGTTTAGCCTCAAAGAATTTGAAGGTTAATATAATTTAATCGGAAATTATCGATAATGCTTGTCGACTCATGCGAGCATGAAAGAAAGCTCTCAGTTTGTCTGTCTTTGGCATTGACTGATTGCGTAATTTCACTGCGGGTGTTATTTGGTATTTGTTTACTTTTGCAAATCGTTTAACGTCAAAGAATTTTGAAGGTTACAAATTGAACCAGAAATTATCATGATCGGAATTGTTGTTGCTTGTTTCGCATGAAAGAAGCCACTAAAATTAACTCCCTGCTTAGAAATTGTAGCACTGCACTTGAATTGGAAAGAGACAGCAAAGAGATGAAAAGAAAGATGACACACCAAATCATGAACAATTCCTACTAACTGATAAAACATAGTGACCTCAGAGAGAGATCATGACAGTAAATTGATCTGAAAACAAATGATCGCCAAGATTCATGGGCCCGCTCAAGCTGGAATTAAATTTCTTGCTGGTGGAAAAAGAGCAACAGCAGCCCTATCAGGATTTGAATATTTTTGCAAAACTGCCTTGAGCTTATTTTCTGCTGCCCCAGAGTGGAATTGGACCAAGAATTTTGCACACTCCCTGTATGCAAAAGACATTAG